GGCAAAGATCCCAGTGGCTTCAGCAGGCTTTGGCTCAGACCTTACAAGGCCAGATCCTGAAAAATGCCAAGCACTTCCCACTGAGCAGCTTTACCTAGCAGGGGTAGTACTATTACAGTGGCCTCAGCTGGAGCAGGACCAGTTGTGCTTACCAAATGCAGACGAGAGAGGCTTTCCCTGTCCCCAGGAGCGTGCAGTCCAAGAACTCAACTTTGGACGTACACCTGTTAACGAACAGCAATAAACTGCGTAGGCTTCAGCTGTGCTGAAACACCTCCTTGAGCTTTGTCCTCAGCATTGCTTTCGTGGCTGGCACCATCTGGTTTCTAGCTATCTTACCTGTCTGTCTCCTGAGCGTGTAGCTCCTGGGGTTCCCGTCCCCTTAATATAGCACTCGGGCTCTCTCTATCCCACAAAAAAGCGTTGTCCTCCGTGATGTGACCTTCTTATACTGAGTTGCATGTAGTTGATACGAGCTGGGTTGCAGAACTAGTGTGGTGGGTGAAGTAAGCATGTGTGGTCATTCTTATCACAACGCTGAGCCCCTCGGGATGGACAGACGGATGGACACACACACCAGCAGCACAGAGCATCTGGATGCAGTGTGCCCACAGCATACTCAAACTAATCAATGCTTGGACTAACTACTGCTCCAGTGTGGCCTACAACGTACAAACAGTCTTGTTTCAAAGCTCTTGACGCTAACTGATGGTGTATGTATGTATAACTATTATTAGCTTCTTGCATCCTTTCCTCTTGTGATACCCTCATTTTATGAGGTTGGTTTTGACGATTTTGCTTGTTCCTCTTCCTTCAGTAGCTTCTGCTTACCCGTAATATTTACATTGCCCGTTTCTTGGCTCTCTGAGCACCTTTGGCACATTTATCCTCCATAACATGCCTGTAAGGTGGAGAAGTGCTGCTCTTCCCTCTGCATGGGTGGGGGAAATTAGGGCACAAAAGACATGAAGTGCCTGACCCAGGGCAGATCAGGAAGTCTGTGGGGCGCAGGGAACTCCACTCGGCTCTGCCAAGTCCTAGGCTGGGACCCTGACCATCGGACCAAGTTTCCACGGCTCTTCTGCATTTAAAACGTTCACGGTTGTGTCTGCAGAGATGGGCACGCGTCATGGGCTCCTTATTCAGCTGAAATGTAGCATCACCACTTCCCAACTCTGCTAGCGTGACTATGTGCACATAGGATGCTTTGGTAGTGAATACACTAATGCGAAGAGCAAGGACAACTCTTTTTAGGAAGAGCTTGAAAACATTTGGGTGACAGCCATGGGGAGAATAGTTTCTATTAAATAAGCCACACGCTGGCTATTACCAACTGTTTACTCTCTTGCGCTTCTCAGACCCCGAGATGTGCGAGCTGTAGATCTTGAAGCCAGGTTGCAACATGCTTGCTTGTCATATGCCATCCCCATGCAACTGAGAATTGCTTTTCTCTGAACCAAGACATCGGCCTCTTTCATTCCCAGAGAGGGCTGCCAAACCAGTTTGTTGGCACGTCAAAGAAAAGTGCCGTGGGGGCATGTTCACCTCAGTTGGATTTTCTTGCTTTGCTTTTTATTTTAAATGAGCAAACTGCAAGCGGCATGATCTTTATTTGAAAAGCTGTAGCTCTTGCAGAGGTGATTCTTGTCACCAAACTGAAGTGGCTTGGATGTCACTAAAGGCTGCTCAAATTCCAGTCAGGTGGCAATTAAAACAAAGACTCATGACTGCATTATTAGTCTTGCAGCCGCATGCAAGAGCCCTAGTCCATCTTCAAAGGCAGCTGAGTGTGCAAAGGGCTGTATGAACATGTAGTGAAAAGTGAAGTGTTTTTCATTCCAGGAAGCTTATAGCTTCAGTGCTTTGCTGAATCATGATTGAAACATGTGCTGAGCTACACATGTTATTAAAAACAAGGATGAACACCTTGTTTTAATTGCAGAATAGCAACACACCCAAGGTAGAGTCCCACCCCCCAAAGTCGTACCATGTAATGAGTGGTGGAAGCAGTCAGTGCCAAGATCGTTTACCTGCGTTCAGGCATAGTGACTAGTACAGGATCCCAGCAAGACATGCTAACCAAGCCTGGCCTGCATCCCATCTTCCCCGAGTCTCATTCCATAACTAGGCTTGCGCATTCACCTGGCTCTGTAATTAAGCCACTTGAAATCCTGAGCGGTGAGCTCATGGCGTGCCAGTAGCGCTGAGCTTGCCTCTAATGCATGCTGTCCGAGAGCTGCACAGCACTTTACATGCTTAAACGATTCAGCCTCGCACACACCTCCCCTGTGATGTAGGCTTTTATTACATTGATCTTGCAGGCTGGGGGGAAAATGAGGCATATGACTGCCAAAGGCGACTGATGTTTTCTGGGGGCATTGCCACTTTTATGGAAGGCCAGTGCGGGAAGCCTAAAAAGCTCTATCTATCTAATAGATAATGCTTTTTAGGCTTCTTGCACTGGCCTCCCACAAAATATAAATATTTTTTTCCCTCCCCCAGAGAGTTGGTCTCTAATGCATCTCAACTCAGCCCCTCTAGGGTGTCACACTGGGAATCCAGGAAGGCAGGCCTCTAAAATCCCTTTGGAAAATCCTGGCCTGAGTGACTTGCTTAACTTGATGCCTTCTCCGTCCCCTCTTTCCCTCGCTGCCCATCAGCAAAGAAGACAGAAATAGACCCCAGTTCCCCTGAACCTGTGGATCAGGCTGCCTCTTTAATATCGTATCATGATTAAAAATAAAATGGCAAAGTGAGACGATGAATGGGCTTCTGATTTCCTTTTGTCACCGCGCGGTTCCAAGTGATTGGAAAAGACGAGCCTTGTAAATAGAACACCATATCCATGGCAACCCTAACTTTTCATTACTGTTAATTACTTGTGTAGTGCCAGGGCTGCGCATGGCAGTTTCCAGGACCAATAAAGACCAGTGGCCACAAATGAGCCACATACTGAAGCAACGTGAGACCAAGTTCCTGGCAGACTGCGGTTCGTGAATTTGGGTGGGTGGTTTTGGTTTTGAGAAGGAATTTGGAGAGGGATGGTTCCAGCACCCCTCTCAGCCTGCAAGAAGGCGGACCAGGAGCCTGCACAGCTTGGGGTGGGGCAGGATGTGGCATCAGAGGGCATTTGGGGAGCTTATGAGTGGATGGCTGAACCCTACCATAGCAAAGCCTTTGAGGGGGAGTTATTGTTTAAAAATCTCTTTAATGGAAGAACTTGCTCTGCACACACCCAGAAAGCCTAAACTCTTTTCAAAGCAGTGCTGCTAAGCTTGTTTGCAAACTGGTTGGGGGCTGGTTTTAAAACCTCTTCAGCTGCCTGACTGCGGGCAGCTATCTGCTTCCAGCAGGTTTTAAAACCAGTTAGGATTTGAGGTGAAACTTCTCCAAGGAACAACACACTTAAATGTCCTTGGGGTTTTTTTTTTCCGGCAGCTGGGAAGAAGTTCATGCCTCCCTATTCAGTAGTGCTTAACTGTGGGCAGTACATGCCCACAGATGGCTGTAGGATTGGTGGGAGTTATGCCAGGAAGCCTTGCTCTTCCATTCTGTTTGGTGTGTTTAAGTACTGGGAAAGCAATGGTGAGGTGTTGAAGCTCCACGTACAACCACGTGACTTCTTCAAGTTCAAGGCTGGCTCTGAAAATATAGGATGAGGGGGGACAACACCGCATAGGACAGAACAAGACCACAACCAAAAGGGAACGGTCTGCAACAATATGCAGCTTATGTCCATTTTCCATTGTACTGCAGCGATGAGCTGAATGGTAGAGGGTATCCTTTTGTTTGCGTTGTCTTTTTGTCTTACAACCCCAATTGGCTACAGCATAGATTAAAATGACAATGGCAAATGTTGGTTAGTTATTAAGCCTCACACAAACACCTTCTCCACTCTTCCTGCCCCCACCCCTCCTGCCTGCAAAGATGACTGAGGGCAGAAAAGGTTGGTTTTTACTTCAATGGTGTGTGAGTCAGGCATTCCCCTCCCCTCGTGCTTCTCGTTACCCTGGATCTGTTGCCTTTCCTCCTTCCTGGTTTTGCTGGTCTCTGTGGGAAACCTGAAGTGGAGCGTTTGCTCCAGCACCTGTCAGAGGGGGCAGACCTATTGACTCTTGCACACAGCTCTTTTCTCCCCCGGTGTTTTCCAGGCAGTCAAGTCAAATAGTTGCTAACAAAAGGAGCAAGAGCTCTGGCGTGGCAAAAGGCCTCTTGCTCTCCAGTGCATTTGTGGTTTCATAACAAGGCTGGTTCTGCATTTGGGCCAAATCCTCAGCCTGCATAACTTCTTACATGCTGTGCTGGAGCAAAGGGGAGGTCATGTGGGCCAGTGGGTATAGCCGGTGTAGCTGCTTCCTTCATACAGTCCATGGCACAGGGGTTGGGGGGTCGGAGAAGAGTTGCTGCAACACACTGTGCTTCAGCTGTGGTCAGCTGGCAGATGATTAAGAGCTGAACCAGCTGGCAGAAGCTAGGGCAGACCTCGGGCAGCCCCAACTTATGGCCTAGCCTGGCCCGGAGCAGGTCATCACGGAGCTATTACTATCCCTGATGCCTCCCATTCGAGCAACAGCCAACTGCAGCAAAAAATAAAAAATCTGCTAGTCTTCCAGGAAAAATGGAGCAGACCAGTTCTGTATTTCTCATGTAAGAAAGACGCTCCTAAAGCTCATCTTACATTGCGAGGTACTGAAAAGGAGCACAAGTGAGTCTGTTGCCTTTGCAATATCTAGTCCAATAAAAACATGGTGTATTGACCTTCCCTCTGTTTATGGGTTACTGTGACCACTTGGCCATCTAGAGCTGCCGCTTTACCTTAGCGGTATTTACTGGCAAGATCATATAGCAACTTCCATAAAAGCTGTTGCCAGACACAGGAACGAGTATTTTGTCTTAGCTACTATCATTTTGACAAAGTCAGATGCAAAGACACAGGGAGCTCAGCACCTTAACACCTTTAAAAATCTGGCTAGAATTACCCAAGAACATTAGCTAAGGGATGGTGATTCAAATCAATTTTATTACATATCAAAATATCTCAAATTCAATGGTATTTCATATGCATGGAGTAATTACTCGTAAAGAGAAAAAACCCTTTCAGTAGACTGATAGCTTATTTGGGATCTCTCTCTCTCTTCTTTTTGTTGTTGTTGAAAACCCCAATTTTGAGACTACAAATGATATTCCAGTTGCTCTAGCTGTTAGGTAATCCACGCAATCATGATCCAACCAGACACAATCATCGCACTAACAGACAGAACCTATCCGAAGATTGATAGCAATCCTAACTTACTGTCTAGTAAACCACATTCTGCATGGCCACAAAGGAACCATCTTTTCCCCGCCGGTTTTCTTGTACTACTTAACACAGCACTCTAGACTGAAGTCTAATAATGGATCTCTCTCTCTTTTTTTTTTTTTGCAATAGCCTGTTACATTTTCTGTTGGCTAACTGACTACATTCCTACTAAATGCAGTAATACAAGGGAGCCTGGCCCTAAGTTCAGCAGGTCAGAGCAGCCGTTACCATAGTGGCATGTAGCTCGTCCTAATTGGAGGCCTCGGTGAGTCTTGGCATTGATCGAGTGCAGCAAATGGTTTATGTATGTTCTGAGACCTGCTTCTGGCGGCAGCATCAGCTCTTCCCATTTGAGTCGGAGCAACGAAAACAGGAGCCGTGTGCAAGTCTGACCAACGTTTCGATGAACCTGGAGGTTCTCTTGCAGTGATATGCACTAAGCTCACATAAAGGTAGTGTTCAGATGACAGTACTTCCCGCAGCGACTTTTCTCCCTCACCGTATGGCATTACATTTTAAAAACAAGAGCACGGTGGATGCTGCTTTCCTCCCCTCCAGTGTGTATTGTCTCCTTAGATAGGCAATGCTGTTCTACGAAGGAGTGCAAGGGGATGAGCTTCTAAGTCTCACCCTGCACACAAAGTATGCATGTGAGCTGCTTTGCAGCCTCACCCTCCATTGCTGTCTCTCTTGAGCTCCAAAAAGTGCTAGGAAAGAATGCCCAGACCTATTTAATGCTAGCTTATATAGCGCACAGCGCTTTGCAGAAGTACACAGCAGCTTAATACTGACAAGAACATTTGACGACAATCAAGAGGACTAGACAGAGAAACACCAGTGTTCATACAACTTTAACAAAGCTCCCTCTGCAGTTTGTTTGGTTTTTTTAACCCAAGAGAGCCCTAAAAGATTTTCCACTAAAGTGTCCTTGGTTCAACAATGTTAAGATCTTTCCACGCTGCCAAAGCTACTGCAAACTTTCCTTATGCTGACATGCATCAAAGCCCCCCCGGTTTGTCTCTAGGCTTTTGTGATGTACCCTTCTCTGATCAGGAAGTCATAGATTTTCCTGGTTTTGTTCACATCGATTTTGATGAGCGCTCTTGCCTGTGCCAGTCTCAAGCCTCCTTGCTTGTTACACTCATTCACTAAAGCAGCTTTATATTCTAAATAGGCTCCGGGGACCAATCTCACCATCTGACAGAGCTGGAAGACAAGGTAAAGTTAATAAACATTAACATCTGTCACACTTGCTCGCTTTGCAATACCTGTTGGGGGAGAAAAACCCCCCAAAATACATGTCCTCCCCACCCTTTCTCCTGAAGGGGAAATAGCAATGACAAGGGATCCCAACTTACAGGTTGTTAGAGGAGGAGCTTGCCAACACTCCTGCTGCTTTCAGAAACATCCCTTCCTGACAAATCGGCTAGGAAGATGAGACCAAGCTCTCCAGCATGAAGCAGCAGTGCTCTTATGTCCTGCATGCGTGGAAGGGAGTTGGGGGGTATTCTTTGCGGCCCAAGGGAAGAACACGTGCCAGAGGGGCTCAGGCTCACAACCACAGAGTCTAGTATCTTGGGCACGTGCCAGGAAGGTCATCTATAAACCTCTGACAGACAAAGGCTTTAATACCTTTCCATAAAAGCAGCTCTGTACACAACAATCCGGCTGGGAACATTATACAGATTATGCATCTGAGTTCATTAGAGATGACTATGTCCAGTCTCCTGCAGACTGAAAATATTGCTTCTAACAAGCTCTCGGGTTCTGCTGTTAGGACACAAAGGTACCATTAGCTCTCACCAGTAGGCCTCCCGTTAGATGCTGTGCTGTACAGATACTGGAGATGCTGGCTGGCTCTTTCATTTAATAAGGCAATGTGGAGTGACTGTACCCTGATGACAGAGAACAGTTGAGACAAGGTCTCGGCAAGATGGAGCTTCTCTGAACTCTGCAGACCAGGATATCGGATTCCCGCATGAGCTAATATTTTTGGTCCCTACTATTTATATGCTGAAGGAAGCCAGAAATGCCACGTGCAGTGGTGAACTTGTGATCTGATTTTTCAATTCTGCAGGAATGAAGGGGAAGCACCATGCCGGACAGAAAGAGCCAGGAGAGTCTGAAATGTATTTAGTGCACATCACATGCGTTGATACATGCCCTGTAGAAGACCTGACGAGAGATTAAGAACATCTTCCCCCCCCCCCCCACTATTTTCTTCCTCTGTCAAGGCTGCCACCTACTATTGCAAGAACTAGTGAGGAGAGGGCATTCTAGTAGTGGAGCCTTTCAGGGCTGCTTTCTGCTAGCCAGATTAGTCCAAAGGAATATCCATACTGTGGTTAAGGGGTGAGATGGCAGTTACTGCCACCAGTCTAACTGCACGGCATGAAGCTCCATGCAGGCTGTAAAACCTGCCTGAGAAGCTGGGTAACTCCTCCCAGGACTAGCCTGTGCAGAGTGCTGTGTTGCAGCAGCTACACTGCTTTTAATCCCTGTGCTAGGTGGTCCACATCCAGCACGGATATGCCTACTTTGACTGCAGTGTATACAGGCCAATTCCTCACGTAAGGATTGGTGCCGCAGATCTAGAGTGAGGCCAAGCTAAGGAATGATTTGCTAATGTGTGTTAGGTCAAACTGCTCTCTGATACACGTGCAGCTCTTTCTGGGTTAACTCCAAGTCAGCAGGGTTGGTCTAATTGGGTAGGTTGAGGTTGGCCCTGTGGCATTTGGATGAATTAAGTGCTAGATCATAGGGATTCACTGAGCCTTCCAGAAAGGCCTTCAAAATGCTCAGCCAATTACAAAGCAAATATTCACGAATGAGAATAATTGCCCTCTTCCTCCAATACAAAACAAGGGCTGAGTAAAGTCTGCTGTGCTCTGCACGCAATACCATGTAATGATGCCCCGGCGCATTCCCTTGGGCTTCTGCTGCTAAATGCACTAATTTGCTATGTCCATGTCATACTCGTGCGGTAGCAGCGGAGACTAAGCAGCCAACAAGGGAACTGCCAAGTTTGACTAGCCGAGACTTGGCTGTCTTCCCACTCATGTTCCCTGATTTCCTTACCTCTTTCTCCTTCTCGTTAAGCTTCTCTGTCCCTGGCAGACCGGTAAGGTTCAGCGGCGGGGCGCTCCGTCTGCCTGCGGTGAAAAGCAAAGCACTGTATAAGCCCCGATGAAGACAGCATGTTTTGGCAGCTTTGCTCCACAGGCAAATGCCATGTATCTTTACCCAGCACAATCCAAGTGTTCGTGGGCAGTTATAAGGGGCTTTTCTTAATGTGAAATTGTAGTGGTTTAACTGAAGGTGGGCTTGCAATTTTCAAGTGGTGCAAATGCATGAGGCTCAATGGATTTGTTCACTCTGAAATAATATTCTAGTTCTGATGTTAACTAGAATCGGCAATGCAGGCTGAATGGATGTTGGCTAGGATTAAGTAAAACCAGGCACCAGTGACTTGGGTACTGCTGGAGTTTAAAGCAGTACAGTGCTGAGCGTGGACTGTGCCACAATGGCTACAGACTACCAGAAAAACAGGGGTGAAACATAGAGGTTACAGGAAGCTGCTGGGATTATTACCTTTTTTTTTGCTGATCTACTTTTTAATAACCAACTTCCTCTAGGCAGCTCTCCATTTTGCAAGGCACCTGTCTCCTTTAGGTGCCAAAAGCCTTTGCAAAGCTGGTTCTAAATCTCCTATCACGCATTTGGGCAAAAAATGCACTCAATGTAAAGCAACTGCAATCCAGGCTTTGTCTTCTGTTTGCTGAAGGGAGGGCTGCAGTACAGCCTAGCAAAAGCCTGCCAGAAATCCTCACTTTTGGACCCCATTCTCGGTTGTTTATAACTTCACAGCTAATTCCCCAAAGAGTCTGTCAAGACTTTGCCTGCAGCTACAGTATCTGGCTGCTCCAAGGCTATGCTGAGTTTTGCTCCGGGTCTGAGTCCTAGAATAGAGCAGGAAGCCCCTCTCCCCTTTGCTGGGCACAGATAAGGAAGATCTTTGGGCCAAACACAGAGGGACAAAAGCCTGACGTGGGATGGGAGTGGAAGGGAAAAAGGAATGGGGGAGGGAAAGGAAGACTGAAGGTCAGCACAGGAGAGGGAACTTGCTGGGCAAGAAGAGAGTTGGGAACCGGTAGGGTGGGCAGGAGACAAGGAGGCAGATTTGATAAGGAGCTGAGATATGGGAGAGAGGTGGGAGGGACTGGGGGAAAAACCTGGGAAAAGGAACGTGGGTGTAGGGGTGACTGCAGTCTGGAAGGGAAAGAGACGACAGATCAGATGTGGAGCTCAGAGGGGGATGTATAAGCAGAATGGGGTGTGCAATCTGGAGGGGAAGACTGATTCTGGCCACAAGACTGGGACTAGGATGAGAAGCCCGAGGAACGACGAGGGGGACTGGCTAGGGGGGAAGAGACGTCGTAGGGACATGGGGCAGGGACATGGTAGAGGGCAAAGGGCAGAGTTTGTGGGGGAAGGCAAGCAGAAGAGTACAGAAGAGTGCAACTTAACGTGTCCCTCCATGTGTGTGCGTGATGGCACAGGCTCAGTTTACACAATTACATACTATTTTCCCCACAACGTCCCTGTCACACTCAGCGTGCAGCATGGACAGTGCTCATTAATGAGCAGCTCTTCCAGATCTGTGTTTTTCTTCCGGCTGCTCGTCCCATAGCCTCAGGCCTTATTTACTGTGCAACGGAACAAGCCCTGTTCTGAGGAGTGCAAAAGCCTCCTGGCCTTTGGCAACAGCACTGACTGCTGTGATAACTACTTGCTTCACAAACATCTCCCCATTTCTAATTTCACAACAATCCTGTCACGTAAGGGGGAAGTTCACTCATTTTGGCCACCTGGTTTGAGACACCTGGGGCCTGTTTCCTTCTCCCTCTCTCCCCGCCACAAAACACAGCATTTCATGGGTGTTCAAAGTGTGGCTCCTACTGACTTCATCAGCAGCCACGTGTTCAACACTTCAGCCCAGAGCTCAAGGCCTCAAGTCAGGCACCCAGAAACTGAGGAACACGCACTGTGTCCACCCATGAAAGGGTGGGTTGAAGCGACTCCTGGCATCGCAGGAACTCTGCAGCAAAGACGGGGATAGAATCCCGCTCTCCAAGGTAGCTCACAATTACCTTAATCCTAACGTGCTTTTCTGCTCCTGCAATCCCCCAACCGTTCAGCACATGCCATCCCTCTTCTGCCACAAATGCAATGGGGTTCTTATTGACAAGTCTCTTTTATTCAAGCCTGAATCCCCCTAAGAGCCTTGCCACTCTGTTTGCTGAATGTGGTAGGGGTCCTGTAGTAAGCGATTGTGTTACTGAAGATCATCCTAAAGCATACTGGCAACTGAGGTTGCACAAGGGACCTGTGTTCCGGGATCTGCTCCCTTTAGCACGCTTCATTCTGCAACCTTAATAGTTTTTCTTAGATAATTATTTTGGAGTCGCATGTACCCTCATGTTTGTCATGCTCGCATTCCTCTGATATGTGAAGGGGCCCGGGTACCATTTCCATGCCGCTTCAGAAAGAGGACAAGATACTTCCAGTGACTTGTTGTTTCAGTATGATATGGGGCCCCACTCTCCTTTCCTGCCCTGCTCAATAAAAGAGCTCTAGAATGGATTCTCTTCTGTAACCAAAGACCATAAGGATTCAGCAAATCTATGCCTTTTGCTCTTGGAATGAGTTGTGAATGAAAGGCTGTGTGAAGTCTTACAGTGCTGGCACATAAGGGCTCTGGAGTGATACTTTCTCACTTGGCCCAGAGAGAACACTCTTTTTACATAGCTGCCAGGGTGGTGTGACTGATGCACAGTTGGTCTGGGCTCTTGCAGCTCCACTGCAGGGTATATTTACCTGAATTGGAAGCAACCGTGACTGTGGGGCTCAGGCCAGCATCACTGTAAGGAAATAAGAGTTCAAATTACTGACATGTATGTAACGATAGCAATACAATAACAATAAATTGGTCCCTACATTTCTATCTGTTCATGATAATTAGAAGTCTAAGGATCTGTGTGTGCAATGGGACAGTGGGATTTCCAGTTGTTCACGACTGGGCCATGGAGCAAAGACAGAAGTTGAAAGCTTTTTTTTAAAAAGAAAAAATAACAAAAACCAAAATCCACGTAGGAGGGCACTGTCTTGATAGAGACTGATCTATCCTTGTGGGAGCCAGAAGGAAATCATAACCCTCCTAAATTTCCAACACCAAAGCATATGAGCTGCACATCTGCCTTCCTTCTATTGTGCTTTTTTTTCTTAAAGCAAAGCCCCAGAGCCCTGTGAATTGTTATAGTGATAATGCTGCTGCCGCTGTATCTAAGATCATCCTGTAACAAAGTGTTTCACGTATCATGTGCTGTCATTAGAAGCCGTAAAGACCCTCGTTTCCCTCAACGGCTTAATAGGCAGAGTTCAGTTTGTAAGGAGATAATGTGGTGAAGTGCTACAAACAAATGCAAACCCAACTACGTGTCGGAAACCAAGTTACTGAATTAGCTTGTCTTGTTTTTTTCCAACCCAAAATGAGTGCTGTTTCTATTTCTCAGGTTTTGGCTGTAGTCGTGTTGGTCTAAGGACATGGGCAGGCCAGGTTCTTTGGGTAGATGTGATACCTTTTATTAGACCAACTGTGTAGTTGGAAAAAAGTTCTTCGCAAGCTTTCGGGTATACCCTTTGTCAGGCATAGGGAGTCTCTGCTGGTTTGAGACTCCAAGGAATGAGAGAAGCTAAAAGTGTGGTAGGACATCAGTGAAAATGTAAATGGGTAGAGATAAGAAGGACAAAAGTAAAAGCAAGGGGAAGAGAGCAGGGTTTCTATTTCTGTGGATTCTGTAGACTGCCCTCCTTTCCCACCACACTAATCTGGAAACACGCTCATTGCCAACAAAAAGAAATGTGCTTCATGTGTTTTTCCAATTAATGCCTGTGTATGGAAAATGCTTAATCTTACTGTATCCGTACATATCGGCTTGTCGACTGAGCCACTGTTGGCAGGCGCTGCTGTCCTGGATGTACTGGAGGACTTCAGAAAGCATCGTGCGCTTCAGCCGCTCCTCTTCTCGGGTTTTCTTGAGATGATCATAAGTCCTAGCACCTATAGCAACAGACCTCATATTCGGGTTAACTGAGCTCAAGCAAAACTCTTGGCCTGCTGCTTTTTCACTTCTAGAGATGGGCAAGAAACTCTTCTCTAACGTTGGGTGAGATTCTGCCACCCTCAATCCGCGAGTGTGAGGGATTTCAGTGGAACCGTGTGGGGTAAGACCCCCTCAGCACGGCAATCCAACACTTTCAAATCCCATGTTATTTCAGGGCCAGAAAAACTTCTGTAACTGCACTTCCAGGATGGAATCGGACATTTCAAAGGCTGGATCCCTCCCTTGCATTCTCTGCCTACTGACAGACGGTGTGTGCAGCTGCCCCTTCCCCTAGATGCCAAGCACTTGTGATCAGGGTACAATACAGTTTCTTCTGCACTTTTTTGGGTGGCAACAAACATAGAGCCCTAAGTGGCACGTTCATCAACCTACCCAGTGGCTCAAACTAGTTTTGAAACCCCCATAATTGAACCGATGGATAATTCGGCCAACTGCCAGTAGCCGAGGTAGTGAACGATGCTTATGCTAGCATGAGGATGTGTAAAATAAGACTGTGTTTATTTCTAATATGTATTATTAGACTATTTCTTTATCTGACATAGGCCTTTCTAGTCATCTAACTTGTACTTACTACAGAAATTGGTGATTCCTGCTGCTCTGTATTCCTGGAGCCGCTTTATTTCCCTTCGCAGTTCGAATTCCACTGTTTTTCCCCCAACGGCGAGGAGTAGAGAAAGCCAAAAACAAAAATGGGTCAGCGTGGTGGTAGTGAACGTTGGTGCACTAGGAATCCTACTGGCCCTGACTTTGCAGTCTGGTGCTGAAGTGCAGACAGCCACAGGCAGCCTCGTACTGGTAGAACCTCTGAGTCAGTGGATGTGATGAGTGTCTTGGTCATCGCTCTACAAAACCACGTCTGAATTACACGTTTGTGCCCAAGGAAGTTCAAACTCAGGTAATTTCCGTGCCTATTATATGGCTTATATATGATGCGTTGAGCTTCCAGGAAGTGTTTGACAGACACGAACAGTCCTCACAACACTGTTAGTCACATATGCGCTGTTCTCTCCAGCTGACAGACAGGAAAGCTTTACATAAAATTTAGGGCCTGTTTGAGTTCTCATTGAAGGCAATAGCCCAGATCACAAAAGACTGAGACTGCGAAGCAAGGGACTCTGGCTTGGCACATAACATCTCTGCAAGCGAGTGACTCATGGTTTGAAAACCTTTGTGTGTTCTCATTTTACCTTTATTTACTTATTTTTAAAAATGCGGCTCCGTGCCTTCCAGGCACTTGCATTTTCCTAAGCCACTTCTGAACCACTGCTATAATAATTGGACCATCTCCCTGACATGCATCCCCCTTTGCAATCTATTCAGGTTGCCATTATAACGTTGCTGTTTCTAGTTCAGAGATTTATTCATTGGAGCTTTACTTATATAGTTTCCAAGTACCAGTTACCTCACAGTAAGCATAATTTGTCTAGCATGAATTAATTTGCGTTGCTTAGGAGACGTATATAAAAAGACTACTTGGGTTACAAAAGAATTTCACTATTACTAATAAGACCACGGGACTACGTTTGCAAGGAAGCACCACTTTGGGGAGCTGAGATTTCTAAGATCAGGCCATTGATATGTAGCAGTATCTGTCGTGAAATGCAGCCACATCTGGGGTGGAACATAGTGGCTATTTACATGTAGCCTTGTGCCTGCTAATGAAGAAGGATTTTCCCAGTTCAAATCACAGAATTAAGCAAGCAGGATGTAATGATTTATATGGGGATTTGACTAGGACACCAGGACACACTGAGGTGCACCCTATAATTATATGAGGAAAAAAAAGGGTATTTGGAAATTAGATGAGGGAAGAACACGTAATGGAGGCTACACTGAACTGTCATGTACTTGCTAAAATACCACATGTGTATCTCATAGAAGATGCAATTAATAGCTGACTTAATCCCAACACAGGCCTAAGTCACTAGTGCTTTCCTCTTTGTGGCAGAGTGGCAGCGCCTGGAGAGTTGTCTTATGAAGAGAAAGGACTAGATAAAATACCATAGGACTAGAGCATTTGGTGACATGTCAGACAATGGACAAAACACTGAAGAAAAAACAACTTGTCAGAGCTACCGCTTATGTAAGTATCAAGCCAAAACCATGTTTGCCTGAGGTGGGGAGATGGGAGAAGAGAAGGAAAACTAGCTCTCCATATTATATACATTTATGGGAGGTCACTGATCAGTAAGTGTAACTCCTCGCTGGAAATGTGCACTCCTCCCCAACAGTTTAACCATAAAACCCCAAATACCTACATGCATGGCTTTCAATGAACTTGTCGTGTTCAGTTGGCCCTAGAATTCTTGCGAACCGCCTCATGGTCTCATAAAGGTCCTGGACCTCCTTCGGGTATCGTCTCTCCAAAACTACACAAAAAAAATACGCACCCTATAAGCAACACCTTTATACCTGGCAGGAAACTGGAGCAGCAAAGCCTTGTGTTGAGAAGCTACTCTTGTGATAACTTCTAGCAGTTCCTTTCATGCGCTCATACATGGTGCTGGCAACTCAGGAGTTCACACAATGTTAGAGATAAAATGCTAAAAAGTGGCAGGTCAAGGCATTTATGCAGAATTCCTACTGTTTTGTACCTAACACAGTGGTAAAATATACTTGGGGACCAAAAACCTTATTAAGCATGCCATTACTGTTAGCACCGGGACACCCAAACCAGTGAGTATATAGTGATTTTTATTATTAGTGTTTGCCAGTGCAGACAGGGCCTTGAGGCTTATGAAGTGCTTTATATAAAAGGGCCCTATCAGGGTCCCAAGGTGTTGCTGAAATACCTGGTTTCTGTCAGTTTGTAGTAACATGCGATTATAATGCTTAGGATGAGCACAAAGCTGTGAAATGGGTCTAATGGGAATTTTGGTTTGAGAAGAGGCAAATAAAACCCACCAGCAATAGAGGAAAGGGATCAGAACAGACTGCGAGGATGCATAACCATCCCAAAGCTCCAAATTTGAGATACTTCTCGTGGTGACAAAATTATCATCTAATGTGTCAAGCAACTTTATGATATGGTGCTCAAAACTATACATGCCACCACGTGGTATCTAGATGTAGTGCGAGTATACCACACTGTAACACAAGATCAAACATTTGGCATGCAACGCGTTCAGCTTGAGGCCATTTTAAAATGAAAAGCTTTATTTGTACTTACTCTGAAACTTTCTGAGGTTGATGAGGCCATGGTCTCTTATAATTCTATAAGCAGGAGGAACCAGTATTACTATAAAGTAGTAATTCATGCATCAGTGCATAAATACCAAGAAAGCTTGGGAATAAACTGTGACTTAAAACTCTGAAGTAGTTCTGGTAACATTTAGTGAAAGTCTTGCAAAGTTGTATAAGCTGGGAAAACAGGATCTAAAGCAGGGGTCAGCAACCCCTGGCATGTATGTCAGAGCGTGGCACGTGGCATTTTGCTTGGCACGTGTGCCATGGGGTGGATGGTGGGGAAGGGGCCAGAGCTGCGCTGTCACAAGAAGGATTGGGCCCCAAGAAGGATTGGGCCCCTCGTAGCTCCCCTGCCATCCGCTCCTGACACAACAACATCTTGCACATTGAGGTTGCAGGTGTGTTTAGCATTTGGCCCAAAAACACTGCTGACCCTTGATTTAGAGGGCTTCGGGTCAGCATGAGTTTGGGATAGCCATGTGTATTACTACAAGGCCAACTGCATATGGCGCAAGGAAAGCTGTGACCTCTCAAAAGAATTGAAAATGGCTTTTCTAGAAACAAACTCCCTGTGACTAATGTCAGCTCCCAAGGTTAAAAGCAAGAGTCAGGTCTCAGTAGGCAAGATTTCCGGCTGCAGAGTGGGATGAAATGTCTCCTTGTATGGGGCATAATCATGGGCGATCAGTGCCAGAATTTAAAAGCAAAGAAGGAAGCTTCTTTGCCCGCTTGACTTTTTTTTTTTTTTAAGATGTTTAAAACTGGTCATTTTTAAGCCATTCAGGAGTTTGGACTATTAAAACAGTTGGAGGGAATAAAGATGGCAAAGGCAATTGAGGTGGTCACAGGTATCTGACCAGTAATTGGTCACAAAGCTCTGCAATTATCACATGACTATCATCTCCATCATCTCGTTTTAATACACGCACAGAGCTTGTGAGCAATAGAGGCATTCAGAAAATTACAGCTCTTACTCTAGGAAGTCCATCACACTTCTTCTGACTAATACACACTGCACAAATCTGTATCCCTGCCCCAGGTACAGCAGGGACATACTTTTTAACACTGACATTAGCAGGGTTTTTTTCTTTTGAGATACTACCTTCTCCCCATCTATAAAACTTAGGAGTCGCTAACACAAATATGAACTATACTATGACAGGGACTATGGGGCCAGGCTGCCTTTGACAGCTTACACAGTATACTGCCATGTAGATTATGCCACACTAATATTAATTATTTAGAGGAAGAAAGGTCAGGATGAATTAGGTCACTGTTCTTTCAACTATTTTCAGACTAACCGTGTTGTGTTTGGGAGGAGGGCTAGGAATCTCACTCTGAAGTTGATCATCTTTCCCCAAGGCACTAAGAGAGCAGATGATAACCTTAAAACTGAATGAACCACCTGAAAAGATGTTGCAAACTAGAGGCTAATAAATAGATTTCTGGACTGATTCTAAAAATCCTGAAGCGTGTTGAATAAATTAGCCACTCATGACAGCAATATAATTGTGATCTGTTTATGAATCCTTAGAAACTAACCTGGAAACTCTACTGCAGTAAGAGCATGAAGTGAGTGTTTCACCAGAGAGAGTTTGTTGTAGCAATTAAAGTAGCAGACTGGAATTCAGGCTTCCTAAACCAGGACCTATGTATGTGTGGCCTGCCAGGACTGTATAGGGACTAGAGAAAGGAGCTGAAAGGCAGGACTGCTGGTTTCTGCTGCTGGACGTACCACTAGCTCCCTACAATGGAGAACCTCAGCTTCTCCCTCTGTATAATGGGTATGTTGTCTCCCAGGCACGTTGGAATCTTAGCTGCTAACAAAGTGCCTTGAGATCTTGGTACAGAAAGCACTGTTTGCCCCAGATTGCACCACCGTGCAAGGTACCAGCGCCAGGCCTTTCTACCACTTCTGCCTTGTTATGCAGTTTGATTGGGAGAAATGTCCCTGAAGTGATCAAAGCTAGAGAAAAGCCAATTACATTCAATCTCAGGGCACACAGCATGTTCAGGGGGAAGCAGTCGCATACAGCCACTGGTGACAAACTCACTTTTTTCTCCTTTGCCTTTCCTTCAACCGGGAGTGATAGATATCTACAACTGCGATCTTCAGAGCTGCAAAGCATAGAAATGAAGACTAGATTCATCACAAAAAGCCTTATCAAACCTGGTTTGTCCCCAAGTTCCCCAACAACCCGTGTTCAGCATAGCTTGACAAGACCCACTTCACCTGCAGGAAGGGGGCTAGCTGCCTTGTCTTCAAGACATTGAACATCTCAAACCACTGACCTACATAGCAGCAGCAGCAGCAGCAGCAGCAGCAAACTGCTGTAGGCTAGTCTTGTGCAAGCTACACACGCCACTTGGAAAAACTTCCTCTAGTTTCTCTTTCCAATTAACACAGACATCTATCTTGTGTAAGTATGAACTTTAGTTTGCCTTGATCCACACTTTCCTTCCCTTGGATAACTGGGCTAAATATTTTTACTGGTGGGAAACCTTTTGTGGTTCTGCCCGTGAGAGCAATGTAGTCCTTCGTACCTTCTGGGAAACTTAAGTGGGTCAGGCTTAATGTGTGAAGTATCATTGGGTGAGGTTAGCCTGCTGAGGAAGAGGACAAGATCAGAGCAATGTTAAGAGAAGAGAGACCAATGGTCTGAACAGAGAAAATGCAGAGTAGATTGTAAGCCTCAGAAAATCACAGTAGCTTTTTAGCCAGTTAACTTCTCTATAACTTCTCTGGCAAAAGAATAAAAAGCAAAGTTGAGGGCAGCTCTTGGTAAGCATGAAGAAAATGTATTTGTTAGAGGCCACGTGCATTTCTAAATTAATTTGTCTGCTTTTCAACTAATCTATGCTAGATCCTGCGGCTCATTTTCACTGATACGAGGTTAATAACTTTCCTGGTAAACTCAGACAAGAGTAGATAAGGAGACACCCATTGCCTTCCCTTCGTAATTCTGTTAAATAATTCAAAGGTCCTATGATGCTAAATACAAGCTGTGAGTGGGTCGATTTCTAGATTGGCATTCTCTCACAACATTAAGTATTTTCAGCCTGTTCCTTCTGAGAAAAATTATGATTCTATAATAAATTCATAGTCTGCAGAGACAACATGCAAATCTCTGAAACAGGGCAAGAGCATTTCTCCTCCCAACCCAGTCTGTTGCACAAAGAAGGGTGGCCAAAGTGTAGCGGAATCTAGAAATGTGACCCAGACATGACCATTTTCTCCCTGTAGCTACAGATTAAGGACAAAGTTGATCAATGGTAGTTTATTAATGGAGGGACCAATCAATAAGCAATTAACCAAAAAATGAAGAAACCGGCTGCATGAAAAATGACTGTATGAACTGTACGGTATTTTGAAATATACAATAGGGAGATAGATAGATATATGCGCGCAAATGATATATAACCCCAAGCCTTTGGGCAAGTTAGCAGTCATCCCTGTTTTACTAGAAATTTCCAAGGGTTATGTGGCTGAGTTAAAAGGAATTTTGTTCTGAAAGACATTTCTTGATGCTCCGTCAGCAAATAAAGCATCTTCAGGATTATGCTGTACTTCTGCTTTAGGGGTAATTAATGCAATACCTAAAGACTGACATAAGGGTTATAAAATATTCAGACTTCAGCTTATTAAATGCAGTACTGTAAGCATTATAAAATCAAGCTGCAAAAAATTGCATCGTTATTGCTATTATGACTCTGATTTTTACTGATTGCCTGTTAAGTGCAGGGTGACTGGAAAAAGAAGTGTCTTATAAACTTTGGGGGTTACCTAACCCAGCAATAAGGCAAGATTAGGAAATTCTCTTTTGTTTAGATTTAGGGAGAGAAGGAGACATGCGGCAAGTCAAATATGAATGAAATACCTTACTAAATTCTGGAACTGCTGCCAATTTAAATAAAACCTTTCTGCATTCTTGAACCTGTGGAAAGCTCAGCTACCATGTTATTTTTTGGGGGACTTGTGTGGGCAGAACATAATAAGTAGACACAAAAATTGAAAAAGGGACTCCTATAAATACCACTAGTAATTGGTCACCTTTAACTGGAGGATTGTATTTCTTACACTTTCACTTAAATGTAAAATGTTCTGAAAGAAATGGTGATTGACTGGGGAGGAGAGAGAACATTTACCCGAGCAAATGAAGGAAAAATTGGAGCTCTCACACAGAGAAAATTCATATTTGTTGCAGTCTTCTCCTTCTCTTTATTGACACATTCGCATAGAAGCAACTGATTACAAGATCTGGAATGCATGAATAACTCAGACTACTACTGTGCTACATGCTGCATGGAAATGAGAAAAGAAATGCTACAAGAATTAAAATGACTGGTCTACATGTTTCTTTTAGAGAAACAGCTGTTGTACTGGTACCTGAGGAAAATCCAAGTTGACATCATTTTCGAAGTGTCCTTTAGGGGCATGATAAAGCCCTGGGCAATAGTTTCTGAGGTTCCCAGAATAGGCAGAAGTTCAAGGCTACTTCCTGGACTCCAAAATCAAGGTATTGCAAATCTTCAAGAACACGTCCAAGAGCTTTTCTTTCCAACATCATCTGCTTTACAGAGACCTTTGCCATGCTACTGAGCAATAGGCCTGCTGCAGGCAAGCTACCCCACTGTTTGGCATCCTATGACTCAACTAGCCTCTGCAAATGGATGGCCTTCCCAGTATGCACCCAGCTTGGTGTACATGTAGTGGGTACAATCCAAATTTACCCTGCAGGACATAAAGTGATGGCTTTAAAATGCGGCAATGTAGATTTTGATTAGATCTTAGGAAAAGCCTCCTTACTGTGAGACTGCCCAGGGAACTTGTCATTGGAGGTTTTCAAGTTAGTAAATGTTTTTCAAGAGGAGATGGAATAAGCATTGGACAGGGGTGGTGTAGGAGTAGCATTCCAGCATCTGTGCAGGGAGTTGGACCAGAAGACCCTCGAGGTCCGCTCTGAGCCAATGACTTCAAGTAGGCAGGGGATCTACGTGAGGCAGCTATAGCAGTCTCCGCAGGAATGTGCAGGGCATAAACATCATGTAGCATCACCAACTGCAGATGCTTCCTCAGTCTGATGAAGGGTATTTGACCCCAAAAGCTTGCAAAGAAGAATTTTTCCAACTATTTCAGTTGGTCTAATAAAAGATATCAGATTTACCCAAAGAAGCTCGTCTGCAAGTACTTAAAAGCGGCATTTTGAAAAGGACCCTGCTAGTTTTCACCTTGTACAAAATAACATTGCCCTTTTCTGAAAATCACATTTGTAGTCTGCTTCCAATAGTTTCTTTTGAGCTTATAAAGAGCCTCAGGAAAATGCTTTCCAATGTTGAAAGTGAATCTCTCTTTATAGGAGAGGGAAGGGGGAATTCTAGACAAGAATTAATAACTAATACTGTAATTCAGTCTCTGATGGAACTGCACAATTTATGAGATTGTCAGAAATCCCTGACTGAATTACTGATTTGTAATCAATTGTTTCTTTCACCCTATCCATTATGCTATATCTAATTGCAATATAAATTATATATTTGCATGCACTTGCTGGCTTACAAATGCTGCCCACATACAACGAAAGGCCATGGACTCAAATATTTCAGAGTTGCTGAAACTGTTTTGTTCGAATCAAAAAGGACAAACCGAGGAATACTGATTATCCCTTGTGTGGTCAGACTCGTGCAGGATGACTCAGCAGACAAGATTCTGAGTTTCTGGTTCAAGATGGCTTGGGAGTCTGGGGATCTGATGTTAAAATCACAGTCATCTTTCTTGTGGGAGTATTGAGACTGTTCAGCGATACAAGGAAGTCTAACAAGGACAACTGCAGTGATACTAGAGGGATTTGGGTCAGGTAGTGTAGATGCCGAATATAAATGTGGAAAGTAACAGCGTTACCTACCGGGTTTTTTTAAATCATTAAAATGAAAGCCCTCAAACATTCCTGTGCAATGCATGCAATTCCAAAACTGCTGGGCTGTCTGGGGATGTGAACCCGACAGGAAAAGACGAGAAAACAAATCCAACAGGTTCAGTTTCACTGTATAATCTAAAAACATTTTTAAAAAGTAGACAAGGAACCTAGATTTGTAGTAGGAGGAAAGGATTTTTTTTTCTTTAAAAAAAGAAAAGGAAAACAAATTTACATTAAATACCGGGAAGAGAAATTCCATCCTTGTAGATCGGGGCGAGCAATTATTTTGGGCAGAGGGCCGCTTACTGAGTTTTGGAAAGCCACCGAGGGCCGCATGATAGGCAGCCAGGGGCAGATTAATATTAATTTTCTAAGTTTTTTAGGGGCCCCTGGGCCGCATGTTGCCCACCCCTGTTGTAGAAGGAAGAGTTTTTCAGCCCTGGCTGATTTCTATAGTGCGTAAAGGGGCCAGAGCCTTGTAAAGAAGCTTAGAAGCCCCAGCTGTGAGCCAGCAATAGCTCTCTCTCAGGGACCTTCTTAGGATCACAGAAATGAGGGTTGGAAGGGACCTCAGGAGGTCACATCTAGTCTCAACCCCCTGCTCAAAGCAGGACCAGCCCCAGCTACATCATTCCAGCCAGCCATTCTTCAGAGGATCTATGCCAGAAAGCAGAAGGGACACTGTAAAAATCAGTTCCAGATATTCTAGATAGTGCTGTAGCCCCTCAGGACAGCTATCATTTAGGTCTTCAGGAGGGTCTCAAATGTACTAGAGAGCCTCTCCAGCCCCTGGAATAGCCCAAGAGCAGGGAAGCTGGTTGAAGCCATACACAGACCTGCACCTTTGACTGGGCTCAGAAATTCCCCATGCTTTTGGCATACAGCATGGAATCACACCTCGGACAATGGAATATGGGCTACACACAGTTCCTTCCCCTCTTGCACAAGCTGGGAAAGGGATCTGATGATCTGCTAGGACTGGAAAAGGTCTGACACATAAAAGGACAAGCAGCCAGAGAGACACTGTGACTTTCTGCCCAGGCGCTCTCTTGAGAATCTGCCCAGGGAGCCGCAGTGAAGGGGACGGCTGCTGCAGGGTCCGTGGGGTTGGAGAGAGAAGACCTAGACAGCCATGGGACTGACTGCGTGCCTGCCAAGAGGGACTGTGACACCTCTATGGTGTATATAATGGAAGATTCAAGGCAGGAGTTAGGTCTTGAAAGGAATCTTATTTTAATACCTAGCTTATGTGAGAGTATGTGTGTGTCTGTGTGAGAGAGAGAGAGAGAAAGTGTGGTTAACAGCTTTCAGTGAATAACTAATGAATGAAAAAGTTAAAATTAGTGAACAGAACAAGGTGACTCTTCTTGGCTTTTCAGCCTAGAAGTTGGGGGAAACCAGACCTGATGTAATGACATATAAACACACTACAAGCAGTGCTAGAAATTATGACTTTTTTGTTGGAGAAATGGTGTAGTGAATATCTGTACAACGAATAAGTCCATACTTTCTGCAGGTAAGCTGTTAAAGGAATAAGGGGTCCATTTCTCATTCAAACTGTTGTTATTCCCAGTGTATCATCTGGAGATGAAAATCTTTCTTGTGTACAAGAGATTTTGTAATCATTAAACCTTCAGCTGTATCTCACTAAATTTCAAACTAAATTGTGACATTTGGGAAGACTGAGGAATGCCGATTCTTCTCTGTGGCTGAAGAAGTTAAGGCTTTATTTGAGAACTGACCCACAGCAATTAGCTGGAGTCCTCTCAAGTGCAAGTAGAGGGCTGTGGAATACTGAACTTCTTTATAATAAGAGAAACCAGAAATCCTCTCTCTCCATGGATTAAAACATTGTTTTAATACTTTCCCCTACCTGGTAGCAATTAGACAACATTATTCACAGTATTTTAAATTCCAGGAACTGAACCCTTTAAAATCAGAAGCTCTGAATAACCTTGTTTCCATGGAGGAGAAGGGAAATCTTTACATTCCCCTGTGCAGTGGCAGTTCCGCGCACACACTTGACTGTGCAATCTTTGTTTAATCTCAGGGGCACAGTAGTCTTAATTTGCTGCACTGAGGCTTCACCTGCATCTGTCTTCCTGGTGTCTGACTGAATTTATCTTAAATAGGTACACTAGCAAATTCCCTAAACGACTTATGGTTAGGATAGATGGGACGACTTCCAAAGTGCAGCAGACACTGCAATAATACGGTAGGTGGTACTTTTTCTTTTGGGTCAGTAGTAAAGCAATGTCCCAGTTCACTGGTAGAAGATACTGAGCTGCCTACAGCACCATCTTTCAGTGAAACTAAGGTCCTGACCATTTAAGATCTATGGCTGTTCCATATACTCTTCAGAAGAGCATCTTGCCACCTGTCTCTTGGCAACCTTCTGGTAATTATCTTATGTCTATCTAAACTTCACCTCTGGCTTTTACCGGACACAGTACTCTTTACTTCCTTTATGAAGTGCTGCCTGCTGTTGTTGGGGATCACTGCCTGAGGTCATGTTCTGCTTTGCACTGTTGCAATAGGAGAAATGCCCCCGTCTTAAGTTAATACACGGGTTAATATTTTTGGCAGGAGATTGCGAGGAAAGACAGTAAAGAATGCACAAGTGTTTGAAATCCCAGCACACGCAGGTGAGAGAACTCGATCAATACTGCAACTTTACCCATCAGTAAATGGGGAAGAATTGTGAGCAGGCATTTTAAAACATCATTTTCAAACATTTTTGTCAAGCTCTGGGGCTTACCATGCAAAATGTCCGAATCGTCCTCCACAAAATCTATGTCTCTCAAATCCCATTCAGCATAGTTGTCAAATTCCTGTTCAAAGGAGACCAACAAGAGCTCTCTAGTTAATGCTTGAAACCTGGATAACAAGGTGGGGCAGGCTGAAAATGGAGACATTTGCTAAATACCAGCGTCGCCCCACGCACAAAACTGTTAAGAATGGCTGTATGTAACTGGCTACATCCCTGTGCAAGATATGAGTAGGTGGGACATTAATGGGGTTTTAATGAGGGGAAATATAATTTACAAAGGCTGCAGAAATTACACATGCAGCCAACCAGAATGGGGATTTAATACTCAAATGCAGTGATGTAATCCACTAGATAATTTATATTGCTCCCAAGCTGAAAGGAAAGTTATACCAAAAAATACTATGGACCAATGGGGGCTGTGCTTGCTGGCAGCATGAGGTTTGAATTTAGCCTGGGGTGTGACAGGTTCTATACATGCAATGATCGCCGTTTTCTGACAAGCCTGATATAGACACTGAAAGCAATGGGAAGGTTCTTAGAGGCTTCAATGAGCTTTGGATCAAGCTCACACATACTTTTCTGGAACAAAAATGAACTAAAAATAAGCTGGCCGATCTAGCTGAGCATCTCATTCACACATCCAGCTTTCTTGCACAAGCAGCCGATTGTTATGGGGTGTTTCATAACAACCTGCCTTACAGACCTTCTACACAAGGCACTGCCTTGCGGGAGGACACGTAGGAGTTTTCCAAGCCCTTTGGCGCCACCTCTCTCTGATCTATAAATCCTTCATTATATCATCCACTGCCCCCATTTCATTTCCCTTTATAATTTTTTGGGAAAGAGATTGCTAGGCAGGAGGTTTGTGCAGCTGCATCTGCTTCAGCAACAGTAGCACATACAAAATAATAGGACAAGATAGATTCCTACCTCAACAAAGTCTGCTCTTGCGGGCATGTATCCAGCCATGTCCCTGGAGAGCAGGGAATCGAAGGTTGGTCGCGGAGGGTCATCAGCAGCTGAGAAGATACATGGTTTTGTTGCTTTAGTTTATTAATAGATATTCCCTTGGCAGCAGACGCAGGAGTAACTAGTGTTAGTCAAGGAAACCTGATCAGTCTATAAACTGGGATGGGTAAAAGTGCTGGGGTGAGGTACCCTCTGCTCCTTACAGGGAGCTCTCTGGTGGTAAGAATAAAATGCAAGATGATAAATGTGACATTAAATGCAAATTCAGTGTTTCACATAAAAGAATCCCTTGCAGAAGCCGCTGCTGTCCTTCACTTTTAGGTCAGAGTTTTCTTTTAGTTAACAGCAACAAGGTTGTTAAAGCTGCCACCTTCTGGGTCCCATTTATAGCGAGTTTCAATTAAACACCTATAACTCTGCATTTTTATTGTCTGCCAAATGGTAATGGACTAAGGCTCACAGCAGCTTTGTGAAGGAGACTGACATTATAGACCCCATGTTACATGTAAGGGAGCTGAGCCAGACAGACTGCAACTATCCCCAGGTCACATAACGAAAGCTAGGAGCAGTAACCAGATTTTCCAACTGCCACTTGACTGGCTCTAATCACTTGCACATCCTTTATGATGAAATGGCATCCTCAGGATGTTGAGAACCCAGTGATTTATGTGAGGTTTGTAAGGGAACTTCTGCCAAATAGGGGATAGGTTGAGCAATGTTAACTTTGTGACAGATTAATCGATTTGCAAAACTGCTACAGCTGCCTACCTGGCATATATACAAACGGACAGTTAGTCAAAGAAAGATTGGGAAGTTAGCCTCGTTTAAAAAGTGCCACTTCTTTGATAAATATAAGCAGTGATGCATATTAAAGTAGGAGTAAGCCAATGCTTCATAGAATAAACTTAACATCCTGCAGTTAAGAAATCCTCTTTTCTGCCTGCCTGTAACAACTGGCTGCATGTGTGCATGTGCATGTGTTTTCAGCACGGGGTGATCATATTCCTCCCTTCCCTTCAAGGCACCCACAGGACACAGTCGTAAATAATCCATATACCAATGGCTCAGCTCACAGTATGGAAAATCCTCTTTCCAAAAAACTGGAGTACAGACTTTTTCCCCCTAAGGTCTGTTCATTGCGTTCTCTGCATATTGTTGTAGGGACTGTGCGAGGAGATGTCCCATTCCCCCTCTCCCCATGTCCATCGTGGTGGGGGATACTTACGGTGGAATGGAATGGCTGCATCTGCGTTCTGGACCTCCTCGGCCTGCTTCAGGTTCAGCAAGGTGGATGCAAACAAGGGGTTGTTGATGAAGTGTTTCATGTAATGTTTCTCACACTCCTCCTTGGATTTCGTACACATCTGATTGGCCACATCTTGCCTATGGTTGGTGGGGGAAAAGGAGTACAGCAATTGTTCTTTTCATTAATGGCCCGGGGGGGATCCATTTCCGACAGGTTTTGATTGGTTTCATTATGTAAGTGGAGCTGGTCATTCTTTGGCTCTCAAACAAACAAACTGCAGTTGGCCCAGAAGCACTTGTATCCCACTGGTCTTTATCAACAACTATTATCTAAATCTCTATTTTCTGAAGCAAATCAACAAGACGTTCGGTCTCCGAGAGACAAAAATACTGCCTCAGAATATCATCAATTGTGGTAATTTGGATCCTAATGTGCAACTCTCCTCAAAACTGTTGTAATCTAACATGGAAAAGTGCTTGAGATGCAGTATTTCTTGAGCTCTCTCAAAATCACCATTTGGGTATTGAGAGTCTAAGACCTATTCATCATAGGTTCTCATAGCTTATCACTGGCTTCCATTACGCCTAAAACTAGACTATATTAATGCAGGTGAATTACAACAGTCTGGCTTTGTAAAACCTGCATCCGTTTTACTGCGTGGTGTGATCCTGTCATGTTTTATCATTTAAAGTACATGGGTGGGAGACCTCCACAGAATGTTAACAAGCTTCAAAAACCAGACTTGATAATCCATGGGGTGGCACTCTCTTCTGAGTCGGTACCAAACTAATATCTTCAGCACAGACTCGGGGCAGCACATTTCAAGTGCCATGTAAAAACCAAGGCATCTTGACCCCATGTAATTCTTGGATTTTCAGATGATAAACTCTTTGGATGAGAGAGAGTGCCCCACTACCTGTTTTTTGGTGTTTTTTTAACAGCTCCAAGCATATTGTTGTCACTTGACAAATAATTTATTATTATTATTGTCATTAAAGATCCCTTAGGATTTTTCATTAACCCTCAAGTGATGGCAAAGTCCAAGCCACGTAACTGCATTCAGTCTCCCAAATTCCTCTTGCAGTTAGATGAGGATATAACTTTCTTCCTTCTCTGTGTTGCAATATTAAACCACTGTTGTATTTTACCCCCACCAGGTAGCTGCATTCTGCATGTATGAACAGTCCCTTGAAATCTTGGACAGGTATGTGGAAGCTTATCAATTCCTTTTGTACAGTTAATTTGGGTGAGAGATGTTCTAAAAGCATGAATTATTTGCATTAAGTTGTAGTGTAATTTGAAGACGCACGTGTATGTGAGGGAGGGGGGTTGTTAGATAGAAAAAGCCACTTTTGCCAAATAGCATAGGGGAAAAAATGAACAAAGCCAATATGTGTTTAAGCATAAAGAAATGTGACAATCAATGCGATTAAAGTACTGCAAGCAGCATCCACGACAACGTCCTTTTCAAAATGGAAATTGGAACAGGCTTTCAAGCTTAATTTTGTCTACAATTATATCCACAAGACCTGACAGTTCTCTTCTAGCAAAGCCTGGAGTTCTCTGTCTTTAATATAGGGATTGGCTTGTGAAGGAGAAGGGAGATGGTTCACAATTGCAAGCATGATCTCTTTTAATTTGCAAATGTATATCATCCCTGTGGCAACTATGGCAATTACGTGAATGGAAAATAATATCTGCAAAGTATTTTAATGTATGTCTAGCTGTCTCTGATGCGATATAGCAGTTGGAAGAGAGAAGAGATTGCAACATGTGGCAGCAGACTCTTAGCAGACCACTAGCTCTGCTACAGAACAGTTTGAGAACCTTTGTCTTAAGCAGTTTACTCATCTATAAAACAATTATGTATAAGCTGAGGCACAGTGTCATTGAAAGCCTGATCTTGCATATTGCCAAGTTCCTTCAAATCCTACAGACTTCAGTGTGAGTGGAGGGAACTCTGCATCTGTCAGATTCTTAGCAGCCTGTAGTACCAGGTCATTAGCGATTTCCATCCCACACTCAATGCTACACGCAATCAGTGAAAGATAAGAGAACAGAGGCCAGTATCCCAGCCTTCTGCTAACCATCTAACTGATGAATTGCTGTGCCCCAGCATATTCTGAGAACCTGACTCAAAAACCCACTTAAGTCAATGGGAAAACTCCAAATTGGCTCTGGTCCAGACACTAAATTCTCACCAGTTTCCAAATCCACAGTCCATCACAGCCTCTAGAAGGGCCATCTCCTCTTGTGCCGTCCAATTAGGATCCAACACAGGAAAATCTGAAGTCTGGGGAGTGAAAAAGAAAAATCTGTGATCCTTTCAGTATAAACCACCACCTAGTGAAGTTATTACCCTGTCACAGTCTGGCAAAACCTCCCGCTGGTTTGATCCTGGCCATTTAAGGCCTTTGTTGTGTCCCAGGGATGTATAAGAATCATTAAATGCACATGTCACCTGCTGTAATAGCTCCTAGTTTGTGAGAATGTCATCAAAGATTACATGAGGCTGCATTTTGTACTATTTCTGGTACTTCTACAAAGTGCGATGCCTTGAAACAGAAACTAGCCACATTATTCCAAAAAAGTTTCGTAGCTCCTTCATGGGGGCAGGTGCATAGAAAATTGTTCCATGGATAGAAAAATAGCCTATTGTTTGTTTGTTTTTTAATGAAAGAGTTTGAGCCACGTACGGGCAAAAAAACTGAAAAAGCCCCTATGCACCACTATATAGCTAGTTGCCATTACTCTCCATGCAGAATTCTGTTCCTCCTTTATGTTCCTCACAGCTATACATTTCTGAATTTAAGGATCTGTATCTAACAGACCCATGATCAAGTAAAGCCATGTTTTTTTTTGAAAAAAAAAGTTTTTCTCCTAACAAGGCCCAAGATGAATAGAAGTCACCTGAACTGTGTACCTACCATGATTTCATAGGTATGGTCACTCTGATGCTTCTTGTACTCAAATCCTCGTGTGAAACACTGCAAAACAAGGAGATTAGCATTACATTAGTTTTCTTGAGACTTTCTGTTTGGTTTTTCTCTCTTGTGTACTAGTTACCAGAAAATACCCATTTAAAAATAGGTTCCAAGTGTGATTTAGTTTTTTAAAAAGGTGAACATTAAAGTTAAACTAATTCTGAAACTTATTCTGTATCCTACTGACCTTCAGCACCAGGAAACGCTTGTAATTGTGTTTTGCAATGTATAATGGCACAATCCTCAGACAGAGCCTAGAAAGTTTTATATGGAGCAACATAATGAAAGAAAAAAGTTTTTCCCTTTCGTTGAACAAAACACACATGCATGCATGCATGCACTCACACGCAAATATGCTGGCATGCGTAAACAAAGACAGAAAAGAAATTTAACCTGCTCATGTAGTATATACAACTGTATCTTGAGATGAATGAACTTTGCCTACAAGAGAACTAAAAGATCACTGGTGCAGTCAAAAGCCCCCAGCTTTATTTCTGAATCTTCTTAGGCTTTACTGAAAAGATGTTACCTATTGTTTACCCACAGCTCCAAACAGCATGTTTTCTTCTGTGAACGTAACTCTCACACATTTAATTGATCAGCATTTTTATTTTCTACGAAGGGTGGCTCATAGCTATGTACTCCAACTTTTAAAAGAAGCTCAGTGGTAAGATTAACCCTGAGACATGATAGGCGATAGGACAAACGATGGTTCAGCTATCTACATGGGTCAGCAGCCCATGTCTCCTGGTTTGTTTGCCTACTCCTTTGCTGCCTACTGAAGGATTTCCTTCATCTGCTTGTGTTACATTTTTTGTTTTTTTTCCCCCAGCCTTTAACATTGCTCCTGGTCCCTGAGCAAACATTTCTGAGGTGCACTTGAGATGATATGAGCCCAACAGTGATGCAGGTAATATACAGTGGGTTAACACTAGAAATTGCCTTGATGACCTTCTCAAGAAAGCACACATTTTCACTTTTTACCATCAGCTTACCTGCAAACACAGGAGAAAAGGAGGAGGGCCGCATTCGGCACATTTGATGTATGGTTCTGTGAGGTATGAAGAGCAGCCTCGGCAAGGGGGCTTATCAAATGGGTCATCTACAAAACCAGCAAGAAAACATGCTGAAAGAAATCCAGTGCAATACAAGCATGCAACTGTGGTTTATACAGTTATTCAAAATGGCTCGTCTCAGTTTTAAAATGCAGGTGTATGTTTATAGACAGCTGGTCCTGCCTGGGAACAGCAAGTAAACGGACTAGATGACCTTTCAGGGACCCTCAAGGTATTTCCTATGGTTCTAGAAAAAGTGTGTCTCCACTCTTCTAGATTCTCAGTTTATATTCCATTTTTACATGAATTATTTTCACAGGGAAAGAGTTTACATGTTTGTAGTCAACTCCACTTACATGCATACTGGATAAGCGCATAATTCTCTTCACTGCATAATATGAAGCAGGTCTAAATTTTTTTTTGCTTCCACTAGAACAAACACTGGTATACATGTACCTTTTAGTTCTCAGATCTGCCAAAGACCTGCCGCTTTGGAACAGACTCGATTAATTGAGTCTGCTCCGCACGGGAGCTGACGCACAATGCGCTGTGCCGCTTGCAGTTGTATAAGCAGCAAAAGGTGTGTCAGTGCAGAGAAAATGGCAGTGGTGCGCTTCTGTACTAAAGCGCATCAGAGGTGTTTTAATTCAAAACCACACCACTGCCATTTTCTTCCCACTGATGTGCATTTTGCCACTTATGCATCTGCAAGCGCTGCAGCACTGGGCGGTTTCTCCAGCACTTACATGTGTAAAAATGCCCTGTCTGCATATCATTTAAAGCACGTTTTAGCTACAAGATCTACTTTTGTAACGTAACTGTACTCCGGCTGACAGCGTACCAGTCGGTGGAAGAAAACCGTGAAGCAGCAGCTGTCAAAGGGCTGCTACTGAAAGTCTGGAAAATGATGGGACCTGGTCAGTTTCAGAGCTAGTCAGTTTCACAAGGTGTGAAACCGACTGGGTCCAGCCCTTTCTCAGTCCCTGGACTCCGTGCTGAAATGCAGCACGCAACCTCCTTCTCTCAAGGAGCTCCAACTTCCCCTAAACAGCGGTGCGATGTTCCTTGTCCATGCTGAACCTTCAGGCACGGTACTTACTGCCGAACGAGGCCAGGCGCTCCATGCTCCTCACGCTGTTGTCGTCTCGCCCAGCTTGGCGCTCCTCAGTCTATGAGCCCGGCCGGGTGGCCTCTACCCAAAATAAATTAGGCTGCTATGGAGCCCCTAGCGTAGATGAGCTTCCCCTCAGATGGCCAGGACCACTCTTGCAACAGGGCTGTCAGCAGTCACTGCAACAGGAACCCGGGCTGAAAGTCCATTTTCTGAAACCAAATGCAGAAAACCAGGATTCATAATACTAAAGACTGAGGGGGCATTGGGCGCGCTACTTATTTGGAGACAAGATGGATGGGGCCCAATAACGGTTGTGATCACTGAGGGGGTCGCAGTGTCGAAAATCTCAATATAACATGCCCTTAATTTTTTTCCACCAAACTGAAAATCCCCTCCTTCGGGGTGTTAGATCAGGCCTGCGTCTTCCCGTGGTTTATTTGCAATTGGGCGCAGGCAGTGCAAACAAAAATGTCAACCGGCGTTTCTACAGGCGCATGGTCCTTGTAGGTGCAGGAGCAAATGGGCTTTGATGAGGCGGCCCAGCCAATTATTCCTGTCCAAAAAAGACAAATCATTTCAATTTACACTCTCAGCGCTTTACGTACGTATAGTCTATAAACCCATTTTACAGACGGGGCAACTGACACAACAGGGGAGGAAGCCACTTGCCCCGACCCGGCCCACCCGCGCTCCCCGGTTGTTTTCCACCCTCTTGGTATGTCCCGTCCCCA